GAGAGTGTGTGTGTGTGTGAGAGAGAGGGGGAGAGAGTGTGTGTGTGTGTGAGAGAGGGGGAGAGAGTGTGTGTGTGTGTGTGTGTGTGAGAGGAGAGAGAGTGTGTGTGTATGTATGTGAAGGAGAGAGTACGTGTGTGAGTGTGTGTGTGTATGTGAAGGAGAGAGAATCTGTGTGTGTGTGTGTGAAGGAGAGAGACAGTGTATGTGTGGAAGAGAGAGAGAGAAAGAGAGATCCAGTCTGACACCAAACCAAAGTACAAACAGATTCTAAACAAGGCCTCACACCCAACATGCATTTTTTGCATCCAGCCTGGTCACCCTGTTACAGGAAGGATATTATTAAACAGGAGAGGGTTCAAAAAAGATTTACCAAGACGTTTTGATGGAAGGTTTGGTTTATATGGATAGGCTGGGACCCTTTTCACTTGAGCGTAGGAGGCTGAGGGGTGAACCATATCGAGGTTTATAAAATCATGAAGGTCATAGATATGGTGAATGGCAGGTGTCTTTTCCCTAGGGTGGGGGATTTCAAAGCCAGGGGACATGTTTTTAAAGTGAGAAGAGAAAGATTTAAAACAAGTATGAGGGGCAACTTTTTTTACACAGAAAGTATGGTTCATGTGTGGAATGAACTTCCTGAGGAAGTGGTGGATGCGGGTACAGTTACAAGATTGGATGAGTACATGAATAGGAAAGGTTTGGAGGGAAATGGGTCAGGAGCAGGCAGATGGGGCTAGTTTAGTTCGAGATTATGGTCAGCATGGACTGGTTGGATGGAAGGGCTTGTTTCCATGCTGTGGTGACTCTATGTGGTATTCAGGGAGTCCAGGTGTGTTCATGCTTTGAGCGCAGCAGGTACAGTATGTTGCTGGAAGGACCGAATGGTATTAATGGCATAAGTTCACTGCCGGGGAGAGAGTTGGTTGTGAATGCACAGATTTCTGGTGAGGCAGCTAATCACCAGATTTGAGGCTGTCAGGCTTGGGGCGGGGGGGAATATATTTGCCCTTGAAGACAGATTTACAGCACAGGTCCCTAGAATGAGGTTCTGCAATGCATGGACTGGGCCAGTGATGTCTGACTTCTCGCTGGAAGATTCTGAGGGGGTCTCGACAGAGAGGACACGGGGGGGGGGGAGGGGAGGGAGGTGCTGTTGCTTGATGTCGCTATTACTCAGCGCCGGTACAGGGAGCGTCTCTTGGGATCAAGCCATGGCAGGAAAGAACGCAAATGGCCATGGTCACGCGGAATGGGCCAGCAGAGAGGGCGGGCCCGAAGGGTCTCCCCAAGGCCCGCTTTTCCTCACACCAAGGTGCTGCCCGCTTCACCCAGGAGGGAGGATCGGGTCCTGGCGGACGGCACGCAGTCCTCGGCCAGGGCTTTCTCCAGGATGCGGGGCAGCGAACACCAGACATTTCGGTGGAAGTCGCGGCCCATGTAGGCGTAGAGAACGGGGTTGACGCAGCTGTTGAAGGCGGCGAGGCCCGAGGCAAGGGGGGTACTCAGCGTCAGGGCCAACGGCAGGGGCACCCCGGTTGGCTGCTGCAACTCGGCTAGCAGGAGGGCATGGTAGGGAGACCAGCACACCAGGAAGGCTATCACCATGGCGGCCAAGAGGCGAAAGGGCTTCCTCCCTCCGGGCCGAGTGACCAGGCGGTGGCGCCGTAGCCGGAGGCTGAGGGTAACGTAGCTGGTCCCGATGACGACGAGCGGGAAGAGGAGGCCTCCCAGGATGCGGGCCGTCGAGAGCGAGCGGAAACGGGAGGCCTCGAGGGCGTTAAGGGCGGCTACGGCCTGGCCGTAGTCCTCCGCCGATTTGAGAACGGCCTGTTCCTCAGCGGCGCTGGTGAAAACGGTGAGGCAGATGGTGTGGTTATCCTCCTCGACGATGTCACGGTACACGAAGCTGGGGACGCTGAAGGCGACGGACGCCACCCAGACCACAGCACTGACCACCGCGGCCAGGCGCGGCCCCCTCCGGTTGCGAGACCAGGTCGGGAACAGCACCACGGAGCAGCGGTCAACGCTAATGGCGGCCAGCATCAGGATGCTGGCGAACATGGTCAGCACGGACAGGCCGCTGGTCACTTGGCACATGAAAAGGCCGAAGGGCCAGTGGGTGCCCAGGGCGACGTAGGCGGCACTCAAAGGCAGCAGGAGGGTGAACGGGAAGTCGGCCAGCGCCAGGCTCAGGTACCACACCCGGTTCACGGACCATGTCATCCTGAACACGGCCACCCAGATCACCAGGCCGTTGCCCACCACGCCCAGGGCAAAGGTCACGAGAAAGATCACCGCGGTGGCGATGCCCATCGCTCTCGAGATGCCATTGGCCCAACTCGGAATCTCCTCGCCTCCGCTGTCATTGGCTGTCAGGTTCCCATGTGACTGCATTTCCCCAACGGACCCTGACATGAAGGACAAGAGGGGGCAAAGTTACACATGTTATCCCAGACTGCAATCACTGAAAGACCATGTCAGTCCCATGGAGTTCCTATCCTCCAGCCCCTACCCCCGGTAACCTCCTCCAGCCCCGACAACCCCCCTGTAACCTCCTCCAGCC